GGCGACGACCTCGAGGCGGCGGGCGGCCGCAAGGAGCTCTACCTCGTCGAGCTGCTCCAACTATACGCCGAAAAGGGCATCCAGCTCCAGCAGGCGGCCGCGTCGGGCAAGAGCAGCGCCGAGGAGCTGGCCGAGCTCAACACCGACCTGGCCGCGATGCTGCCCTCGATCGCCGCGCTGCTCGAGCACGCCGACATCAACCCGCAGGTGGAGCCGACCACCGAAATGGTCACCCTCTTCCGCAACCTGTGGTTCCTCTCGGTGCTGTTTGGCTTCGCCTCGCCGCAGAACATCCGCTCGGTCGGCCTCGACCGTGCGGCAGCCCCGCGCGCCGCGCCCGCGTCGGCGGCCGAGGCGCAGGGCGAGATCGTCGGCCGTTCGCTCAGCGCCATCTCGCTCAAGACGCCGACGCTGGTGCCCGAGACGGCGCACAACTACCTCGAGAGCGATCTCGAGTACAACTCGGTGCTCAAGCGCGAGTTCTCGAGCGCCACGCTCGACTCGCAGCGCAAGGCGCTCGCGGCCGTGATCCCGTCGCACGCGTCCGAGATCCGCTCGTTCAGCTACGCCCAGGTCACGTTCCTCGCCACCATCTACGACCTCGAGAGCCTGCGCAGCCGCATGGGCCGTCCCTCGATGGTGCTGTGGTACTTTGTCAACGACGGCCTCAACAGCAGCACGCTCGTCTCGTCGATGCAGGCCATCGCCGACCGCGTGGTCGACTCGTACATCCAGGACCTCGGGCGCCAGGTCGACGGCCACACGCTCGACCCGCGCGTGTCGTCCGAGGTGCGGGCGCTGCTCCTCGGCACCTGCCACCGCGTGGCCAAGGTCCGCCAGGTGTCGCAGAGCATCCTCGACAAGCTGGTCGGCGCGCTGCCGTCGCTCCTGTGCGACCAGGACGTGGTGGTGGCCATGCTCGAGATCCTCACGCTGCTGCGCCAGGGCTGCGAGTGCGAGTACCGCGACGAGTACGCGCCCGTCTACCACTTCCGCTCCGAGCGCGCAAACCTGTCGTTTGAGCTGTCCGACTCGTACTCGCAGCGCAACGAGATCCTCGCCCGCTTCCTCGAGCGCGCGCGCCGCTACCTCGGCGTCGTCCTCGGCCTAGCGCCGGTCGAGCTGCACGGCATCCTCCAGCGCTACCTCAGCACTTTCGACGACTCGACGCTGCCCGGCCGCACCGAGCTGGGCAAGAGCGTGGCGCTCGACTACGCGCGAGCAATGCCGGCCTCGTCGCGGGGCCTGGACGGCTTCCTGCCCCAGCTCGGCGGCTGGAAGTCGGACGCCAGCAGCGTCTTTGTCGGCGAGCTCTCGGCCAAGAGCACCTACCTCGGCGAGATGACGGGCATCCACCTCGCCCTCTCGCACGGCCTCGTCGAGCTGGCAAAGGACCCGACGACGACGCTCTCGCCGGCCAAGGTGGCCGAGTCGCGCGACCAGCTGCGCCACGTCGCCGCCGGCATCGCCGCCAAGCGCCGCACCCCGCCCTTTGCCGAGCTGCGCCGCCTCCTCTACCGCTCCGCCGCGCTCGCCGTCGCGCTGCCCCGGCCCGACTACGAGCTGCTCCACTTCATCGTCGCCATCCCGATGCTCGTCTTCTCCAACGAGGCCGTCTCCACGGCTTGCCAGGTGTGGACGTGGATCATCGGCGAAAGGCCCGAGGTCGAGACCAAGGTCATGGTCGAGATCACCGCCGCCTGGAGCCACACGGCGCGCACCCGCCGCGGTCTCTTTTCGCCCGCCCTGACGCAGAAGCACCCCTTCCTCCGCAAGACCGAGATGGGCGCCTTTGACCGCGAAGAGGTCACGGCCGAGCAGGAGCAGGCCAGGCGCCTCTTTACCCCGCACCTCACGCTGATCCACCTGCTCTCGAGCCGCTTCCAGGCGCTGCGCTACCGCGACCCCACCATGGTGCTGGCGCTGCACCGCCTGATCCAGCACTCGGGCAACGCCGTCGGCCTCATGTCGACCCACCCGCTCTCGCGCGAGGTCCGCTTCTCGCTCGTCCTCTTCGGCTTCGAGCTGCTCCAGGGCAGCCGCGCCGAGGGGCTCGTCGAGCACCAGCTGCGCGATGCCCTCTACCGCATCGCCTTTGCCTGGTTCGCCGCCGCGCCGCAGTGGTCGTTCGGCAGCAACCGCCTCCAGCTGCGCGCCGAGATCCAGCTCCTGTCGGAGCTGCTCGACCACCTGCGGGTCGACCGCGTCCGCACCGACCACCACCACCTCACCAGCTTCGCCTCGTCCTCGGCTTCGACGGCGTCGAGCGTCCGGCTGCCTCCGCACGGCATCACGGTGGCCGAGGCGGCGCAAGCGTCGGAGCGCAAGCGGACGCTGCTGCGGCTGCTGCTGGAAAAACGAGCAGGCGCGCTTCTCGGTGTGGGCCAACCCGCTGGGCGAGGGCGCGCGCGGGTCGGACTACGTCGGCGAGCTGACCAAGTCGATGACCGAGGCGCGCTGGCCCGAGCTGGTGCGTTCGGCCTGGTCCATCAGCCCGGCGGTGGCGGTGCAGCTGGGCGTGCGCTTCCAGTCGTCCAAGGCGCTGCGCGCCGAGCTGGGCCGGCTGGTGCGCGCGCAGCCGCAGCGCGTCGTTGACGTCCCCACGGCGCTGCAGTACGTGCTCGAGGACCACCTCTCGTCGGCGCGGCGCGACGGCACCGACCTGCGCTGGCTGCAGTACTGGTCGGCCGTCTCGCCCGTCGAGGCCATCCACCTGTTCCAGCCCGAGTACGACAACCACCCGCTCGTGCTGCAGTACGCCATGCGCGCCCTCGAGCAGCACCCCGTCGAGCTCACCTTTTTCTACGTCCCGCAGGTGGTCCAGGCGCTGCGCGACGACGCCTACGGCTACGTCGAGCACTTTATCTTTGAGACGTCCAAGATCTCGCAGCTGTTCTGCCACCAGATCATCTGGAACATGAAGGCCAACAGCTACCGCGACGACGATGCCGAGGAGCCCGACCCGATGAAGCCCACCCTGGACCGGATGGTCGACAACATCGTCAACGCCCTGTCGGGCGAGGCCCAGGAGTTCTACGAGCGCGAGTTTGGCTTCTTCAACGAGGTGACGAGCATCTCGGGCAAGCTCAAGCCCTACATCAAGAAGAGCAAGCCCGAGAAAAAGGCCAAGATCGACGAGGAGATGGCCAAGATCAAGGTCGAGGAGGGCGTCTACCTGCCCAGCAACGCCGACGGAGTCGTCGTCGACCTCGACCGCAAGTCGGGCCGCCCGCTGCAGAGCCACGCAAAGGCGCCCTTTATGGCCACGTTCAAGGTGCGCCGCGAAGTCGCCCGGCCCGGCGGCGACGATGCCGACGAGGGCGGCGACGGCGACGAGAACGGCGGCCAGGG